ATTCACAGAACATGAGAAACCAAAAATTTAGGCCAAATCTAAATATAGTTTTTGCATTCACAGAACATGAGAAACGAATAGTGAAACAATCTTACCGGTTCATGCATGGTAGTAAATAGTCCAAATATACAAATACAACACAATTTCACAAATATAGTGTCACAAAGCACAACACAAACACAAATACACATGTACATGGCTCTTGCGCAATCCCTGGAAAGATACTTCCGGTGACGTCACAAAGCGCGGAATACGAATGATGAATAAGAATGGAAGTTCAAGTTCGTGCACCTCTGGACTGCGAGGGAAAAACCACCAGTTCTTATCTCCAATTCACGTTGGGCGCCATTTTTGTAACCGGTTCTTGTAGAAATTAAAAAAATGACTGCAAGATGGTATATAGGGTTTGATTCTTAGTATTTATTCCGTGGAGATATATAGTTGATTTCAAGATGAATTAAATGTTATAAATCACTCAGTTCCATACACTGGTATGTTAAACTCATATTTTTAAAGTATTGTAAATATTTCAGTATAGAGAAATTTAATTTAGATCATTAATTCAGTAAGAGTTTCAAAGAGTTATCGCCCTTTGAATGCGTTTATATAAAGTGTAAAGTAATGGCCTAAAGAATGTTTTATGTGTTTAAATTGTGATCGTTTTGTGTTGTGAAGTGAATGTGCTTGTTTATATGTTGTCTATGTATTTATATGTTGTTATTGTTATTTTAGGGTTGATTTAAAACATTTAATTCATCTTGAAATCAACTATATATCTCCACGGAATAAATACTAAGAATCCAACCCTATATACCATCTTGCAGTCATTTCTTTTTAATTTCTACAAGAACCGGTTACATATATACAACTGTACCTTTGATAGCTGACACCCAAAAGGCATCAAGTGGTGACCCACTTTTTTCTTCCTTAATCCTAGAATTGAGAAGGAAGATAACTCCTCACAAGTGAACATTAATTCTAACACACCATTCTGAATTGTGTAGGAGGGTGGCCTTCTAAGATGCTGCAGTTTTTCATTTCAATTCTCTCTTTTCGTCTTATCCACAATCAAATTTTTCAGATTCTGAGGATCCATTACCAGCATTCTCATGTTCTAAAAAATTTAAATATTTTGGGGAATTTAAATCATTTTCTATTTATTATAAACAATATAATTCACTAAAAGAATTTTTTTCTTAAATAAAAAAGATGTGTTTTTGAAACACTGATGCCCCCGTATGGCAGGATTTGGCGAAGGTTAAAGTTTCTCAAATGCAAATCAAACCCCAAGGTCGAGAGATAAAAATTTACCCAAAGAAAGGACTTGTCTCAATTAATATACCTGTGAAATATAAAAGCCCAAGCACTTACTATTCAAAAGTTATGACCAAGGTTAAAGTTTTTCAAAAGTAGGTCAAACTCCAAGGTCAAGGTAAAACTGTTGGTATCCAATGGAAGGCCTTGTCACAAGGAATACATCTGTTAAATATGGAGGTACTAGTACTAACTGTTCAAAAGTGATGTCCAAGGTTGAAGTTTTATAAAATGGGTCAACCATAAAGGTCAAGGTCAATAGGTCACACATAAAAATATATCCCTGGAATGGTCTTCTCGCAATGAATTCACATGTGAAATATGAAAGCCCTAGCATCGCATCAACTGTTCAAAAGTTATAGCCAATGTTAAAGTTTGGTAAATTCCTACAAAAGTGGGTCAAACTCCAAGGTCAAGAGATCAAATATTTTGATACCCAAAGAAAGGTCTTTTCCCAAGAAATACACATTTGAAATCTGAAAGCCATAGTTCCAACCAATCAAAAGTTATAGACAATCTTAAAGTTTTTGCGGACAAACAGGCAGACGGACGGACAGGGCAAAAACTAAATACCCCCGAATCTTCGATTAAGGGGGCATAAAAACGAGAAAAAAAGTCGGTGACGAATTTGATATTTTTACTTTTATTGCAAGATAGTTCTAGGATATCTTGAATTTTTTTGTTCTCAGTCCAATTGAGTTTGAGATGATGAGGTTTGACAGTATATGACACCATCCTACTTTTTTCCCCCTTAGAATGAGCAACTTCTGTTACAATTCTCTGAGCACCCTTGATGCTGCTCTCTTCTTATTTCTTGGTCTTACTGTGATTTAAACTCATAAAATTCAGAGATTGAATCAATATTGTATCGTTTGTATACCTCACTATCCTGAGAAATGAGAACTCTTCTAACACTTGTTTAATTTTTTTTTTTGGAGCTTGAATTCTGTTCTTTATCTCCATATATTTCATTCTAATGCAGGATAGAAAATAAGCTTTTTACAAAGCTAAAGTGTCTAACTAATACAGGTTCGTCTTGCTCGGGTGATGAGGTGGAAGTTCCAGGAATACATGCATTGGTTGTATCCTGTATGAAAAGAAAAACACTGTAAATGTCACATTAAAGTAAAAGATTTTAATAGGACTTATAAGAGTACATATCCATTTACAGGGATACTTGTATGATACACATGTACATAGATAGTCCAAATCGCTGACAAACTTGCATCGGATGAGATGGTAGGTGCTCTTGGTATTTCAACAGTTCCCTATTTTGAAAATATGAACATCTTTTTTATCATATCCATCTCTGACTTTACATTTTGAAGTCTAGGTTGAGGAATTTTTAGTTGTTAGTTCGTAATTATTCCTACATGTTTATCTTAATATTGAATTACATCAAGTTTGGTTTGAGCTTCGGTTTATTTGGAGTCAATTACACAACACGAAGTATCACGAGACAATATGACTTGAGGGTACAGCAAAGACCTGCTACAAACAAGCTAAAGTGCAATGATAAATAAAGTTTTCAGAGCAAAATAAATGATACCTTTGACAGTCATGCAATGTGTATCACAGAGTTACTCTTAAGCCCATTTTGAACTAGAGATACTGTGAGCACTGAGCTAACAAAATGATACCCCCCGCCTCTCATATGATTATAAAAGCAAAGTCCATGTTTTGCCATGGGAGACCCGAAACAAGTGTCAGATCGATTTTATGTTGTTTTTACGTCCAATTCGATAATTTTTCACTCATATAGAGACGTCACCATATACCGGTGAAGGGCTGCAAATTTTGACCTTCAATCGGCACTCAGGGCTATTGAGCAGTGAGTCGTGCCAACGTCTGCCGTGACACGGGGCCTCGGTTTTTAAGGCCTCATCCAAAGGACCCACAACTTTCACTTCGAAATACCGAGCGCAAGGCGAAGGAAAAGTCGCTACCCATTTTTTATCGACTTAGGTCAGTCTCGGCCTAGATTCGAACTCACGACCTCCCGTTCATGGAGCGGGCGCTCTACCGACAGAGCTATCGTGAACAGTTTTACGTGAAAAGAAGAAAAACTTGCTGTGGCCTTCAACTGGGCATTTAGATGTATCGACGACGTATTGTCAATTAACAATGGTTATTTCCATTCTTCTGTCGACAGTAGTAAAGGGGGTAGTCTGAGAGCACTTTACGGGCACCCCCTCTTAGGGCCGTCTGCGGGCAACCCTCTTAGGCCGTCTGTGGGCACCCCCTCTTAGGGCACTTTACGGGCACAATTGTTAGGACCGTCTGCGGGCACCCCTCTTAGGGCCGTCTGAGGTCACCACTCCAAAGACTGTCTGAGGTCACCCATCCCATCATTTTATCATTGCACACGCATTTTCAACCTTGGTTTTTCTATTTAGGGTGGAGGTACATGTATTTCATTTTGGTTTTGCAACTAAGACACTGTTAAGGCGCATCCTTAAGGTACCATTACTATATAAAGTTCAAACATTTTCGAAATATATCACAATCAAGTCTTGGTATACGAAAGGAAGAGTTGTCATCTTGGATTTATTTTTGTAAGTAATGCATAGTAGAAGTAGACAACTTGTTTCCACACTAATTTTTATGATACACTTCCATCATCAACAGCGATAATAACCCCCCCCCCCAACAAAAAAAAAAACGTATTTCATTGACAAAGTTTTAATTCTTCAATATCAATTGTTAAAATTAACATGATTTCACATTTTTAAGGATGATAAAATGATCTGTGAGCAAAGGTAAATGAATCAAAACTTATCAGTACAAAATAAAAAAAGATTAAAAGATATTTCACTGTCATTTTACGTCACTTCATTTTTTCAAGTAGTCTTGAATATAGTTCACAATCATTGATGTCTGTAGTAAATCGACTCTTAACAGACTCGACTAATTCTACAAGCGCCCCCAACTTCTCTTTAAGAGGATATTGAGGGTTTTCACACGTTGGGTCGTATGTCAGCTGTGCACATCCCGATGGCGCTGGGATATTATTTATAAATGAAGCCTGATATGGCGTCAAGGTGTGATCAGGCGCAGGGATTATCGGGACATGGTACCGCTGGAGTATACCCTGATGACACTGAAGTATACCCTTGTGACGCTGGAGTGTACCCTGGTGACGCCGGGCTATACCCTTGTGACGCTGGAGTACACTCTGGTGACGCTGGAGTATACCCTGAAGACGCTGGGCTATACCCCAGTGACGCTGGAGTACACCCTTGTGACGCTGGAGTATACCCTGGTGACGCTTGGCTATACCCCGGTGACGCTGGGCTATACCCCGGTGGCGCTGGAGTATACCCTTGTGACACTGTGACATATCTTGGTGTCGGTGACTCTAAGGTGAACGTAGACCTGGCTTCGGGGCCACCAACGCTGAGATTTTCTCAAATCTGAGATTTCTCAAAAAATTTGAGTTTTTCTCACCAAACTGTGCCACCAAATAAATATTTTCTCAAACTCAGACTTATCTTTTTAGTTTTGTCTCAAATCTGAGTTTTTTCTCAAATCTGAGATTTTTCTCAAATCTGAGATTTTTTTCAAACATGCGTGCCACCAACGTTTTTTCCGACTCAGCTGAGAAAAAAATCTGAGATTTCTCAGAAAATCTTGAAATTGGAACATAGTAACCTCAAATAAATTCTCACGTGAAATCACTCACCAAAATGGCAGTCAGACGACATTTGCGGCGCCGACGTCGCCGTCGAAATTCCATTTTAAGAAGAATGAACGACCGTTCTAATCCACTGGAAACTCTTAATGAAGCTGAGGTATTTGAAATGTACCGGTTTGTCCCAGAAACAATTATGTTTATCGTTGGTCTTATTCAAGACCAACTGCTTTATGACAGCCAGCGGAACAACACCCTCACACCCTTGTACCAGGTTTTGGTTGCCCTTCGGTATTTTGCAACGGGGTCATTTTACATCACTCTTGGGGACACTTTGTCTGTATCCAAGAGTACGGCAGGGAGAGCGGTGCGCAGGGTGACAGACCTTCTATGCACACAGGTCAGACAATTCGTTCGACTTCCTGACAGAAATGAATCTATCTGCATTAAATCTGCCTTCCACAAAATTTGCAGGTAAAATAATACACACAGAAGCGTCTGCACATCTTGTTGTTTTCATTTGACCTTAACCCAGTCGTAAAAAAACGAATCCTGAACCCGATTTCATAATATACACCACATATATATAAAACGCATACTTGTATTTTAGAAATCTTTCCACATAGAATTCATTCAATTAATCCTATGTTAGTATATATAATATACAATATATATATTTTCATCCATATGACACATACAAACGAAATATTTTAAGAAAATATTGTTGAGAAAATAGGTTGGTGGATCAAACAACTGCATGCGGTCCATCATTATGTCAAATTTTTCTAGGATCCTTACTTTTGAGGCAATTTATTCTTTTCACCGTAATAAGTAATTGTATAAATGTTTTTTCAAACATTAGCATCAAATGTCTATTACAATTAGCCCCCCCCCCCTTCCCCCTCTTTACAAAAAAAGGGATAGAAATGTTCATATTTTTGATAAAAATTTAATTCTATTTTAGGATTCCCAAGTATTGTTGGATGCGTGGATGGAACCATGATAAAAATTATTGCTCCAGCTGAAAATGAATCTGATTATCTATGCCGTAAAGGTTACTATGCTCTTAATATACAGGTACATGTACTATATATATATATATTATCATTGTCCACACAAGCTATGTCTGACATAATATATACACACAGTTATTATAAAACTGATACACCATAGAATGTGTGGAGGGAACAGGGGGCACCCTCAACTTTTTTCTGAGCATAGTCTCTTATTTTTGTAATAATTTTTCATTTATATGCTGGACAGGTCCCCCTCCCCCCCCCCCTTCAACCTTTATTTGCTGTAAGTTTGAACGCTGGCAAATTCCAGCATTTAAAAAATATACATACCAAGTGAAGCCCCCCCCCCCCTTTCCAATAGAATTTTCGAGTTTAAAAAGGTTTTTTTTAGCTGTCTGATTTTTTGGTGGTTTAATCACCCCCCCCCCCTTTTGAAACTGTAGCTATGGGTCATACAACAAGTCCAGTGCAAGTCAATCATAAATTTATGCAACTTTATCGGTTTGAAATATTTTCATTCATTACATTAATTTAATTTTTCAGATGACATGTGATCCACTATTTAGAGTCCTTGATGTTGTAGCAAGGTGGCCTGGGAGTGTCCATGATGCTCGAATCTTTAGGGAATCGAGCTTGTGCAAAATGATGGAAGAAGGCATGTGAATACATTACAGTCTATAATGTTAAATTTACAGTCTATTTACATGTTGATAGAATTAACATATGCCATATTTTTTTTAAACCTTTGTGTATTGGATACATGCAATTACTACAATTACTTCAAAAATTAAAAACTCACAATTTCAACATAATGTACAAATTTAAAACAGTTCATGAATTATTTAATTGTAATGCAATTTAGGACAGCTATCAGGGATTCTCCTTGGGGATTCAGGATACGGCCTAAAACCGTATCTCATGACCCCTTACATGGCAGAGGATGCCCCTGGGAATAGGCGATTTAACACAGCACATTGCAGAACAAGGTTACTCTTTAGATTTGTCTCTTCTAGAGAGCAACAGACTTTACAATTAACCATTTCAATACTAGAAATTTCAAGTTTCAGGTCAGAAAACCATGATACATGAATATTATACCTTCAATTATTTTCATTGTCAGGGTTATCATAGAGCAGACCTTCGGCATTCTTAAAAAAAGATTTTATGCCCTCCACTGTGGCCTTAGAACCAAGCCGGAGAGAGCTTGCAGAATTGTAACAGCATGTACCATCCTTCATAACATCGGCATTGAGCGAAGGGATATTCTTCAAGATGCCGATGTTATGAATGATGTGTGTGCCATGGCTGATGACCTTCAAGTGCAAGATGATGCTGTTGGACGCACTGTGAGGGACCATATCAGAGACACTTACTTCTTATGAAGATGGTAAATCTATTTTCTTAACATTACTTTATTACATTTGAATTTCTAAAGGTATATGGGAATTTTAATGCTACAGGTAAAATACAACAACAGCCAGATTCTGATTTTGATGAGAATATTTAATTGAGTTAATGGTTTAAAAGCTACATCTAACAATCTTTAATACATGTATATACATCATACATTTACATGAGGATCTAATAAGCACAAGTGCTTAGGAACACTTACAACAAGAAGTCCATGGTTCACAACACTCACCCGAGTCACTATGGCCCTACTATTCTCTTTATGATACACCTTGATTGGCCATTGTGGTAACATCCTACTCTTGGGGACCATGATTTGAAACTACATAATTATATATTAAAGATTCACACAAGTTTCAACCCTTCTGGTCCAGAAGTTCCTGAAAAATTTCTAAATTTTTTTTTCAGTATTTCAATTCTAAACTTTGATCACCTTTGGCAACCCCACCCAACCCCAGAGGGTTATGATTTGATTAAATTTGAATCTACACTACCTTAAGATGTTTCCAAAAAATTTCATCTTTACTGGCCCAGTGGTTCCTGAAATGAAGACATTGAATTTTCACTAGTTCTTTAATAATTATCTCCCCTTCAGTCAATGGTTCTTGAGAAGAAATTGAAAATATGAAAAGTTTACTGATGGACAGACAGACAGACAGACAGATGCCAGACAAAATGTGATCAGAAAAACTGACTTGGGCCTTTGGCTCAGGTGAGCTAACATGTAAGGACATAAAAAGAGGAGAATGACAATTCATTAATTTTGTGATAGAGTTAAAACAAGTAAACTATTGTTTTGTCAAAGTATGTAAACGCACATCTGCATGTCATAATGGTAACAGATTAAAACATGTTTGATAAAGATAGTGATAACAATTCTAAGCATTTTTAACCTTTAGCAGGTAGGGATATAAAGTACATTTACAAACCTTGATATCCCTAGTCCCCTTGTATTACTTTTTTTATTGATAGTTTCTGTTGAGCAGACTCTTTTTATCAAGTACAACCATTTCTTTCTGATAATCATTACCTTTGGAAGTCAATAAAAAATTCTCTGAATACTCAAATTAGACCCCATTTGGAAAGACTTTAAAACATATCAACTCCATTGCATTATCTACCACTACTTTACTATGTGACACATTGTAGACAAGAAACAGCTAATGAAAATGACGAGGACTTGATCTTGTTTCCCTTTTAGGAATGAAGCTTATTTTAACCTATGTTATACGATATAACATAACTTGGGGCAGATTTTTAAATAATTTCCCTATATATTTCAATGTAAAAATTGGATTCCCTATTATGGCCCCGCCCTACCCCTGGGGGTCATGATTTTTATAATTTAGAATCTACACTATCCCAGGATGCTTCCACATAAGTTTCAGCTTTTTTGGCCCAGTGGCTCCTGAGAAGATTTTTTAATGACCCCATCCTATTTTTGTCTTTTCTTGATTATCTCCCCCTGTAAGGGGACTTGGCCCTTTATTTTAACAATTTAAACTCCCCTTCACTTAAGGATACTTTGTACCAAGTTTGGTTAAAATTGCCCTGGTGGTTCTTGAGAAGAAGTTGAAAACATGAAAATTTTACAGACGGACGGAGGGACAGACGGACGACGGACAACCGGTGATCAGAAAAGCTCACTTGAGCTTTCAGCTCATGTGAGCTAAAAAGCGTAAACTGCCCCAAGTTATGTTATTTCATATAACATAGGTTAAAATAAGCTTCATTCCTTATATTTTAATTTCAGTGTTGACAATAAGACAATTTTTCCTCCAAAAATGGCTTCAAATTGAGCATATGTTAAAAGTAACTTTAAGTGGAGTAATACGTTTTTGATGTAACTCATTGTGGCATAGGCAACTTATGTTATACGATATAAATGAAATCTTTTATCCAACCAAATGACATGTTACAACAAAAATTAAATTATTCACCTATAGATGCTATATGCCAATTTTTTTTTAAAAATTGGTTCTGCAGTTCTTAAGAAGAAGCTTAAAATGATCAAATGTTGACTGATGACGCATGATGACAGACAAAAACATAAAGCAACTAGAAATATGTCCATAGGACATGAATGCTCAGCCGAGGGTATATTAGTAATGCAACATGTAAATTTGTATTAATGTATGAAATTTGATGAGAATATCTTGAATAGTTTCTTTAAAATTGAAATTGAAATCTAAAAAGTTGGATATAGATGATAAATTCTCACCAAATTATGTTTAAGTGCATAAACTTACATAAATATATCTTAAATGGTTTCTTTAAAATTATGCAAAATGCAAATCTAAGAAAAGTGAGGTCAAGGTCACAGGAAGGTTCAAGGTCAAATGTTTTAGATGCAGTTGAATACTTCTCACAAATACATATCAGCATATTTAAGTTTGATAAAAATATTGAATGGTATCTTGAAAACTGAGGTAAACATTAATTTAAGACAAGAGGCCCAAGGGCCTTAACGGTCACCTGAGTATAATACAACACTAAAGGATCCATGGAAGTATAAAACAAAATTAACTGATGGACGAAGCAATGTTGCCCAATAATTTCAAACACAGGTAATCAAAGATTACGAAGCTCACCTCGACAAATGTTATCTATAAGTAAGGCAAATCTCACATCATATTTTTTGCTAGTTAGTGTACATCCCAAGATCAGTATCCATGCAAGTTTGGTTTGAGTAGGACTTATAGTTACTTGGAAAAAGACCTGCTCCAAAAACTTTAACCTGGTCACTCATCTGGAAAATCTAGGTCAGATCCAGCATCCAAAGCAAGTGTGGTAGTGGCCATCCCTAGATGCATCATCCATGCAAGTTTGGTTCAGGTAGGGCTTATAGTTACTTGGGAGTGGACTTGCTCCTAAAACTTTAACCGGGACGCCGACGTCAGGGGTATAGCATGAGCTCATCACGACTTCGTCGAAGTGAGCTAAAAATCTGGTAAAAATACCCTTGCTTATTGTAATGTGCTAGACCCGATTGATCTCCTTTGGATCATACTTGGTTTTCCCAAGTCTTACAGGGATGATAATGAATGCAAAATATACAAATACAAAGGACACTTGCTTATTGTGTAAGGTATTCAATATATACAGATATTTTTTTTGTCACTTGCCTAGTGCTACAATTCAGTACACACAGACTTCGGTATATACAACGTGGTTATTTGCCACTTGTCACTAATTACAATAAGTCACTCTGGCTCTCTGTGATTCTTTGTTCACTTTGATAAAGTATCAAACAACATCCAGTCTCCTGTCAACCACAACTCCTCTACAAGTGACACTAACTTAGATCACCACAGAGAATACATTCTGTGTACAATTACAACTTTTGCTAAATATATAAATAATCTTTATGCCAATCTTTTATACTGCTTTCCAGGCAAGAATCTGACTTTGAGCATACTTTGCTCATTTAAACCAAACATTCATTTTTATTTTGTTTCTATATATATATAACATTCTTTCTTGTATTCTCATTCAATCAAATAACCTGTTAATTAAATTATAAACAAGGATTTCTTGATTAACAATATTTAGCAAAGGGGAGTAACTCTCATTTGCTTCACATCACAATTGTATACTCTGCCTCCTAGATACCCACAAGCAAAGAAAAGGCACATTTACTTACAATTAAATTTAATACATGTATTTACATTGATATTATTGCATACAGCCTGTTTGCTTAGTACTCAGAGGCAGAGGAGAAGATTTTCAAAGCATTAATGCATTTTGCTAATTAATCAATAGAACCCCACCCAAGCTCAAGAACACCTGACCCAGGGGCCATGAAATTCAAAATTTTGGAAGGAGGAATCCTTTCTCATCATAACTATGTATTTAGTTTGTTTAATTAATACCAAGGGGCAGAGGAGAAGATTTTCAAAGCATTAATTTATTTTCATATATAATAAATTAGCCCCCCACCCCACCACACATGGAACCCCTGACCAAGGGGCCATGAAATTCACAATTTTGGAACAGGCACTCTTGCTCATCATAACTATGTACTTAGTTCATCAGCTCAATACCCAGGAGCAGAAAAGATTTTCAAAGCATTAATTTATTTTCAGTACACTGTATATAGAAAAAAATCCCCCCCCCCCCACATGGAACCCCTCACCCAGAGGGGCCATGAAATTCACAATTTCAGAAGAGACACTCTTGCTCATCATAACTATGTACTTAATTCATCGGCTTAATACCCAGGAGCAGAGGAGAAGATTTTCAAAGAATTAATGCATTTTCACTATATAATCATTAGAGCCCCGCCCTAGCACCAGAACCTCTGACCCTGGGGCCATGAAATTCACAAGTTTGGAAGAGGCACTCTTGCTCATCATAACTATGTACTTAATTCATCGGCTTAATACCCAGGAGCAGAGGAGAAGATTTTCAAAGAATTCTTGCATTTTCACTATATGATCATTAGTGCCCCACCCTAACACCAGAACCCCTGACCCAGGGGGAATTGAAATTCACAATTTTGGAACAGGCACTCTTGCTAATAACTATGTACATTGTACTTAATTCATCGGCTTAATACCCAGGAGCAGAGGAGAAGATTTTCAAAGAATTAATGCATTTTCACTATATATTCATTAGAGCCCCACCCTAACACCAGAACCCCTGACCCAGGGGCCATGAAATTCACAATTTTGGAACAGGCACTCTTGCTAATCATAACTATGTACATTGTACTTAATTCATCGGCTTAATACCCAGGAGCAGAGGAGAAGATTTTCAAAGAATTCTTGCATTTTCACTATATATTCATTAGAGCCCCACCCTAACACCAGAACCCCTGACCCAGGGGCCATGAAATTCACAATTTTGGAAGAGGCACTCTTGCTCATCATAACTATGTACATTGTACTTAATTCATCGGCTTAATACCCAGGAGCAGAGGAGAAGATTTTCAAAGAATTCTTGCATTTTCACTATATATTCATTAGAGCTCCACCCTAACACCAGAACCCCTGACCCAGGGGCCATGAAATTCACAATTTTGGAAGAGGCACTCTTGCTCATCATAACTATGTACTTAATTCATCGGCTTAATACCCAGGAGCAGAGGAGAAGATTTTCAAAGAATTAATGCATTTTCACTATATATTCATTAGAGCCCCACCCTAACACCAGAACCCCTGACCCAGGGGCCATGAAATTCACAATTTTGAAAGAGGCACCCTTGCTCATCATAACTATGTACTTAATTCATCGGCTTAATACCCAGGGGCAGAGGAGAAGACTTTTAAAGAATTAATGCATTTTCACTATATGATCATTAGAACCCCGCCCTAGCACCAGAACCCCTGACCCTGGGGCCATGAATTTTACAATTTTGGTAGAGGGCTCAATGTTTATTACAATCATGCCAACAGTTTGACTGCTTGATGTCCAGGAGTAAAGAAGAAGATTTTTAAAGATTGCATTAATTTTGGTGGTTTTAGCCCCACCCCTCAGGCCCCAGGGGGACAGGGGCCATGAATTTCACAATTTTTACTCCCCTTCACCCATAGATGCTATATGCCAAAATTGGTTGAAATTGGTTCAGTGGTTCCAGAGAAGAAGCTAAAAATGTTCAAAAGTTTACGACCGATTGACGACGAACGACGTACGATGAACGACGACAGACAAAAACAGATAGCAATAGGTCACCTGAGTGACTCAGGTGACCTAAAAAGTGAGGTCAAGGTCAAAGGAAAGGTAAAGGTAAAAAAATATTGATGCTGTTGAATAGCTCTCATCAGTATGTATCAGCATATTAAGTTTGACAAAAAAATCGTGGATAGTTTCTTTGTAACTGAGCTTTGAACAGAGCTAAATGCAAAGCGTGACGAAAAGACAGACGGAAGGACAGAAGACGGACATGACAAACACTATATGCCCCGGCCATATTCATGGCGGGGCATAAAAAGGCTTCTGAGTAACTTGGGTGACCTAAAAATTTTATATGGTAACTACAATATTTCATCATGCAGCACCAGAAATGCATTTATATCCCTACACTACTGATTAACCATTAACAAACTTTTAAATTTCATTACTTTTTAACATTTGAGCTACAACCTCTGGATTTGAATTAACCAATATTTGAAATTTTAAATCATAATAAGATTTCTGTGATTGGATAAGCTGTCTTTCATCTTTGATCTTCTTGATTTCTTCTTGTAATTTATCATTTTCAAGACAGAGGTTCCTTTCTTCCAAATCCTGAATTGTCATTCTCCTCTTTGATGACTTACCAGAATCTGATAAAACAAGAAAACTACTGAAAATGATAGAATTCTTTCTCTTTTTAATCTGAACATACAGGACCTTGAGGTCTCAAATTCACATCTTATCACTCCAGTTTTAAATATAATTGCTCAAGTTCACAAAAAGATAGAAATAGGTCACCTTAGTGACTCAGTTGACTAAATAATTAACAATAGCAATTTTATTGTTCCAAATCAACAGCAACTATTTCTCAAGGGACAATAAACTTGCTTTTGTTCTCTTTGTCAGTAAATAGGTGTAAACTATTCAACATGAGATGACCAATGGCACTATGTAAGAAAGATTCTATGGAAGTCAACTGACTTGAAACTTAACTTGATTTTAAGTCATCAATATGAAGAAATAAATCATAAATCAGCTTATTACTTTTTGCATAGCATTAAATAATCCAGAAAACTAAATATGACAGAATGACAACAGAAATGGGTTTTGTTATATTTTTAAAAATTGTGTCCTATATAATTCTATACTAAAAAAAAGTCTAACATCTCCTGTGTTTTACTGAGCGGGCATAACAAATCGATGTTTAACCGCAGAGTGAGATGTTTGACCTGTCGATGAGATGTTGAACCTCTGACGTCACAGAGAGGGCAGGGTCAGCTATATCTTATTTGCAATTGTTGGAGTTCGACAGAACTGCAGTGCGAGTAAACGAAATTTACATCATGATATTTCAAAATAACAAGAGGCCCATGGGTCACATCACTCACCTGTGCACTGTGGCTAGAAAATAGCTAAAATCAGTTCAGCATTGAAAAGGTTAAGTGGTCATGACCTACCCCTAAAAGGGGGGGGGGGGTATGATTTGAAACAAACTTGAGCTGAATCTACACTAACTATGGATGCTTATATATTTCTTTGACTAACTGTGGCTTTTTTCCTATCCGTTTGAATTTTCATCATTGCGCCACCCTAGCCCCGGGGTCAGGATTTGAACAAAGTTGAATTGACACTATCTGAGGATGATTCGACATGAGTTTCATCTTTCCTTGCCCAGTGGTTCTTGAGAAGAAGATTTTTCAAAGATGCCATTAATTTTTCACTAATTTGTAATCATCTCCCTTTGGAAGAGGGTGTGGCCCTTCATCTGAACAAACTTGAATCCCCTTCACCCACGGATACTTTGTGGCATGTTTGGATGAAACTGGTCCAGTGTTTCTTGGGAAGAAGTTGAAAATGTAAAGTGTTTACAGACAGACAGACGGACGCTGGACAAAATGTGAACAGAAAAGCACACTTGAGCCTTCAGCTCAGGTGAGCTAAAAAGTAAAAGGTACAACATAACATTTACTGACTGTGTTCTCAGGCAAAATGGGTTTTGTTGGCCTCTCGAATCAAACTGTTTGCCTCAGGCAACAGTTTGGTTCTTGGATCTGACAAAACGCATGTTACCCTCGAACCCAGTGAACAAATGTATAATACTGTATATCTGGCCATTTTTTGGTAGGGGCATAAAAATTATGTGAATACTGAGATAGCACACAGAATAGATATTACGCAACTACCATAAGGGCCATTGCTTTTTTATTATCAAACATTTATAGTACCTCTGACATCTTTTTTCTTTTCAGGCATATCTGAGGAGGTGGAAGGCTGGGTTGGCAACAGATCTATTAAACAAACATTGTAAATTAGAGATCGTTCAGACTTAGTTTTGATTATGATGTAAATGCAGAATGAACTTGTGTAGCAACTTTTGTGATTTTTTTTATGATTTTTGGGGATTATATAGATTTTGCCCTGTTTGTCGGTTTGTTTAGCTGTATGTTTGTCTGTCTGTCTGTTGTCAGCTTTAACTTAGTCCATAACTATTGCGCTGTCAAGGGTAAGGCTTTAATATTTGACATGAGTGTTCATTATGACAAGACCTTTCCATTGGTACAGAAATTTTTGATCATGTGACCTCAACTGTGACCTTTGACCTACATTTGAAGAACTTTAACATTGGCCATAACTATTGCACTGTACTCTACGTCCAAATCCAGAAATGTGTTACCATTGGGGGCATAGTGTTTCACAAACACATCTTGTTTTTCCTATTAAAATTGAAATAATGTCTTGCAGTTAACATATTGGCAATTTCATATTCAATTACCTTCCCTAATGTCTACTATCTGATATTTTATGTATAGTAAAGTATGGTAAATGATTGTTTCAACAACACTGCTCGTTGACTAAATCTAATGCACAAGTTAAAAATCTTTTAAAGTTACATTCATGTACATGCAGTTGCCACAAATTTGAATTTGCTGAAAACTGTGACTTAATACATTTACTAATCATAATACAGAGATACATTGCAAAGGTGTTGTTTGTCAGTTACTTTTAATTATTAAAAGTGTTAAGTGTCTATTACCAGCTGTATCTATCCCTCCAGATATACCTTCCAATGAAGGTCTACCCTCCAAGTTATCCAAGATGGATTTTTCTGCAGGAGATGGACTTGGGGGCTTTGGACCACCACCTGTCTTAGGCCTCTTCATCTCTGACAACTTTCCTTTGGCTAAAATTATTTTACAGTTTAATGATATTTTTTAATAGACAATTGTTATATTGAATACATATACAGAATACATGCTTTAAAAGTGTTTAAAAAAATGTTTACTTTACTATAAATGTGAACAAAGAACATATTGAATTCAATTTCTTCTTGATACATTGTGCACCACAAACTTTTTAAGCACTTGCCCAGTCGGTCTAGTAATGGCAAAAATTTTACTAGCTTGAATCCCTTTTTATATGGAGGGTAATCCTGTTAAAAAATCCAGACATGCAAGTTTGTAAATCCAAACTTGCAATTGTATCAGATTTATAGTCTACATATGTAAGTAGGTAATTCCAACATCCTAGCATGAAGTTTCCGAACATACAACTGTGTTGACTTCGAGTTTATACTGTGAATGTGTGTATTTTTGAATGTAAACTTTGTTTACCGGAATCTATATTGCCAAGCTCTGAATAAAATACTAAGGCAATTCTACAAATGTAAAGTCTACATGACTGTCAAATGATTACCCTCCAATATTTTTATCAGTACTAGCCTGATACATATAACTGTAGATTTAATCTGAAGGCTCAAATTTATTTTCAAAAATCAAATTTCTACTATCCTTAATTGTTCTGTCATTTCATTGTCACATGACATAACAGCATTTATGCAGTTATTTGATCCTGGAATGTAAGTGTTTTTGTTTTAATTTAAAACATGAATGCAGTCCGGTGCACCATAATCGTACATTATATGATATAGAAATGGAAAATTTGGCTAAATATTTAGCCTAAGTCCAATCACCTTTGTGCCAACCTACATTTACTAGCCCGTCTAAATTTTTACTAGTGTTTGGGAATAATGAAAGTGCTTTTTGTGCACACTGCAGAGAAAATTAGAAAAAAATTTTACATCATCATAAGATAGTTTATATGTGTACTTAAAATAATTCCTTGAAAAAATTTACAAGTGCAGGGTTTGACACTAAGGCACGTCCGACCGACCCAGTCTGGTAAATGAGTGGTCCGGTCGTGTAAAATGTTCGTGATCTAGACCGACTGGTCGTGTGGATGAAATAAAGTTAACCCTCATTTCAGTCTTTCAAATAAATATTCTAATTTTTAATCTTATTTGTCTGATTGTAAACACAGCCATCACTCTGTAGAAGAAAATTTTCCCGCAGACACAATTGCTATTTTTAATTCGGCTGTAATCGAAACTAGCTTCGTTCAGTGTAAATTGGAATGAATAGTTATTGATGTATAATATGTAACAGGGGTATCACTATGGAAGTATATAACACAACACTCCTGTCAGGGTTCATCAGATTTATTGCACAGTGGAGTGATTATATATATTGTGTTGTATTGTGTAAGCCCTGTAAATATCATAAAACAACAATAAATATAATGTAAATAATTATCACACACAATGTTCATGATTTTACATGTACATGAAGATAATAATTAGATTATCATCATTTATAATATTTACACTGTCATCAAAGGGAGATAACTCTTGAATATATAAATCTTTACATATTAATTACTCCCATAATATTCATAAAAAATATATTCCAGATTAAAAACATATAAATCTAAATCTCACCATTCTATGGGAATAGGCTTTCCCACAAATTGTTAATATAGAAGTATCTACATGAATGGTGATCTGTAATTTAATACAATTTATTTAAAAATATTATCCCTTTAAAAATATATCAATTGCTCACTTTGAACAATATAATCAAATATACCTTTGATCATCATAAAAACATATAATCTGATTAACATCAAATTACTTCTGTTAAATACTTAATATTGATCTTGTAATCAATAATAAATATACATCATAAAATAACTTTCTTTCAAATTCATTCATTCACTTTAGTAAGTGCAAATGGAAATGGCTTTTGCATACTATAGGATGAACATTTAAAATATGAAATAATATTAGTAACTTACCAGAAATGGAAATCTGTCCAAAGTCAAGAATGTCTTTTTTTAATATATATATAGTCTGGTCAAATCAACCTCTGAACAAAGAATACTCAGAATAAAGCGGGAAAACTCCAACCCAGTCAATAAAACCAATAGAATCAGACCTTTCAAATTAATAACCAATAAAAACCAAAATAACAATAACCACTTCCAAAACACCTGACCAATGCCCTTAGGTAATATATAAGTATGTACAGGTAAGGGAGAACTAAGGGGTGGATCTAGGTTTTGAATAACAAATTTAAATAAAAGTTAAAAAATATATTCTGGCAAGTTCTGTTACTTTATTTTAAACAAATCCAACACTATTACAATCTCCCCCCGGTCGCGTAATGACGTCCACGTCATTCAAATGGGAAACTATAATCCTGAAATATAAAGCATAAAAATACATAATATACAATTAAAACATTATTTAGATGATGCAGACACAAGATTTAACAAGGCTAACTGGCAAACACTGGAGTCAACACTCTCTAAAGTTCCTTGTTCCATCAAACTCTTGATAAAATTGGCTCTCTGTAACCAGTCTGGCTGTGTCTGGCTCATCATCACAAAGTCCTTTGTCCAAGGTGGTTTACTTTTGTTTCTAGTTGATCTCCTTGGTGCTGGTACTGGTACTTGGGTATCTTGTGTAGAAGGCTCCTGTTGAACAGTATCATTAGCATTTGAGGGCATATCATCATCAACATCTTCATCATCAACATCATTATGCTCTTCATCCTCTTCAGCATGATTCCCAGGCTCATCCTGGTGGAGAGCGTCCTCCCCTGAAGTCATAACCGAAGCTTCCTCAGCCAAGGAATAGTCGTCACCATCTTGACTGGGGATGTCTTGATATGAATTTTCTGACTGCATTATAGGGTAACCTATAAAAGAAAATTCGCTATCTGAATCTGAATGGGTACCATCATTAGAACTTGTTTCTTTTGATACTTCTCTTTTTGTTGCCTTCCTTCTACATCTTGGTGGTTTTGATGGAGGAGGTGTATACTTCTGTAATTTAGAACCTATTGGAAGCAATAAATTTCTATGTAGAACTTTACATCTTCCTTCACCGTCCTCTCGTCGAACTTTGTAAACAGGTATGTCTTTATTAGATTGAGCAACGACTACATAAGGCTCATCTTCCCACTTGTCAGCAATCTTATGCTTTCCATCGTATGATACAATTTTCACCAATACTCTGTCTCCGACCTGTACAGTAGCCGCTCTTGCCCTTAAGTTGTAGTTTTCCTTCTGCCTTTGTTGGGAATGCTTGATTGCTGTATTAGCTAGTTTATATGCATCTTGTAGTCGTTCTTTTAATCTGTTAATGTATTTAGTATTGCATTTTTCTTCATCTTGCTGCTGTGGAAATCCAAAGATGATATCAACTGGTAATTTAGGCTCTCTCCCAAACATTAAGTAAAATGGCGAGAATCCTGTTGAATCATTTGTTGTGGCATTGTATGCGTGAACCAAGGAATTGATGTGACTTTTCCAATCAGGCTTTTGGGAGTTTTCTAAAGTTCTCAGCATGGAAAGAAGAGTTCTGTTAAAGCGTTCTGTTATACCATTACCCATCGGATGGTAGGGGGTTGTTCTTGATTTGGAAATTCCTAAAAGAGTACATAATTCTTTAATGATGTTGCTGCAGAAATTTGTTTCTTGATCCGAATGTAGTTTTTCTGGAATTCCGTAATGTAAAATGAAATGATTGAAGATAGCTTCAGCAGTTGTTTTGGCTATCTGATTTCTAGTTGGTATTGCCACAGCGAAATGGGTAAAATGGTCTGTAATGACTAAGATGTTTTGTACTCCTCCCTTTGCTGGTTCTAATGTTAGGAAATCCATGCATACAAGTTCCAGTGGCTGGGAAGTTTGGATGTTAACTAATTCAGCTCTCTGGTCACTTGTCTTAGTCTTTATACATCTTTCACAGCAATCAATCCAATCGATGATATCTTTCTGCATCTTTGGCCAATAAAATCGTCGTCGCACTAATGAAATAGTCTTGTCTCTGCCCAAATGTCCCATCTTATTGTGCAGGTGATGTAATACAGTTGGAATGGTTGACATGGGAATGACAGATTGATGGATGGTGCTATCTTCTGTTTTCACTTCTCTCAATAGGATGTTTTCTTTGACTTTGAATTTGGAAAAATTCCTGTAGAAAATTAAGTCATTTTCAGTGTTCAAAGAATCTCTATCTGGTCTGGTTCCTAATTCCACTTGGGTTTTCCAGAAAGAAACAGTAGGGTCTTTATCTTGAATAGCTGATATGTCCAAATGATCTGCTATTTCTAAACTTGGCTGCATAAGCTGGCAAATAGCATCATCTATGGCTAAAGTCTCTGCATATGGCTGTCCAATTTGGCATATAGCTTTAATAGAGTCGTTGTCAATGGTTTCTGTGTTGTCGAGTCTGGAAAGTCTATCCGCATCTGTGTTTGATTTTCCCGGTCTGTATAAAATTTTGAAGTTGAAGGAGGCCAAAGCAGAAATCCAACGATGTCCAGTAGAATCTAATTTTGCAGTACTAAGAACATAGGTAAGTGGGTTGTTGTCAGTGTAGACAGTAAATTCCTTTCCTTGTAGATAGTCGGAAAATTTTTCAGTAATCGCCCACTTCAATGCCAAAAATTCAAGCTTGTGAGTTGGATAGTTCTTCTCAGACTTGCTCAATCCTCTGCTTGCGTATGCAATGACTCTATCTTTTCCTTCCTGTTCTTGATATAATACTGCACCAAGACCTGTCTGGCAAGCATCCGTGTGTAACTTAAATGGTTTGGTGAAATCTGGATAACCTAGAACAGATGGTGAAGTAAGCTCGTCCTTAAGTAAAGTAAAAGCCTTCTGTTGTTCTTGTTCCCATTTCCATTTTGGGTCTGGTTTCTGCTTTCCTCTAGACTTCTTTCCAAAAGCCATAATGTCAATTAATGGTCTGGCAATTTTTGCAAAGTCCTGTATAAATTTACGGTAATAACCCGCAAAGCCTAAAAATTGCCTAACTTCTTCTGCATTTGTTGGAAC